ATCTCTTCTGCAGGTTTCTTAAGAAACTAAGTCCTAAAAAATAAACCTTCGCAGGGTTTTTTTGACTGCTCTTTTTCATTAATCTCTATTCCATTGTAAAGCTCTGCAATTACAATGAAAATGCTTTGGGGTCAGCAAGTATAAAGTACTGAGTAAGGATCTGGGGCAGGGTGTTTGCCTTACTGGGTCAACCCTTACTGACTTACTGTAGTTCTACTTATGACTACTATTGATTGATAATTGAGCAAAGTTACCTTTCACAAATATTGTGAAGAACTTGCCTTACTCACAGGCAGACTAAGTGGCCACGTTTGTCATTTTGAAAGCCCCAGAGAAGGACCCCTGTTGAAAAATCTGTGAACCTGCCAAGTGTCTGAAATTCTTCCTTCAAGGAAATCCATTTCTTTCTGGTAAGCAGTGCCCTCTTTCTAAAAAATGGAGAAATACCACATGAGATCCCTAACCTCTGGGTGTGCAGTTGTTACCAGATCATCTTCCTGCTTGACTTCTTTAAACCCGATGGGTGCCTAAGTCCTGTAAGAGTGTGACCTAATTAATCTCTGCCCTTGGAAATCAGATGGAAGGTTCTGATTTTCTATCCTCTGCTCCTACTTGCTAATGCTGTAAGCTTAATAATTGCGATTTCAAGCAAACTGTTGTCAATAGATGTGTCAAATTTAGATTTGTTGTTTTAGAAAATGTTTTCTTGGGGCAAATTAAAGTATATGTTTGGCACTACAGTTAAATTTGTACTTCCAAAAATGTGATTTTGGAGCGTGCTTTTGGTAGTTTTGAGCTTTCCTTAAATGGCTTGTGTAGTTGTGAACTTTTGCTAATGATGTGGCTCAAAAAGGAATATATATTAACACTAAACTTTACATTTCTGTAAAACTGTTTTACCGAAAGTGGGGGTGCCAATAGTGCGTTAGTATTAGGTTGGACATTGTAATAAGTGGTGGGAAACAAATAAATATGAAATAAAGCTTTAAATGACTTTCTGTAACCTTATATTCTAAAAACAATAGTTCTGACAGAATATAACTGAGAACCCACTTTAATAATAAAATTTAAGTTATTTTCGTTTTTAAAAAAAAATTTAGAGTGAGTGTGCATGCTAGTGGGGGGGGGCGAGGGAGGGGAGGGCCAGAGGGAGAGGGAGAGAGAGAATCTCAAGCAGACCCCCCACTGAGCACGGAGCCTGACACAGGGCTCGATCCCAGGACCCCAAGATCATGACCTGAGCCGAAATCAAGAGCCAGCCACCTAGGCGCCCCTAAGTTATTTTAAAGTCACAAATCTCCCAGAGATTTTACTATTTCCTCACTCTAAGTAAAAACTACATCTTTACCCTCCTAAGCATAGCATTTTAGAAATAACTGATAAAAGTACCAGATAACAAAAGCCAAGAAAGCTGTTTAGCAGTCGATAAAACTAGAACTCAAAGAACTTTCATTTTCCTCACCCTTAGTAATCCCTAGGTGACTTGGGGATCTGACATAAAATAATTCCCTAAATGGTTTTATAGGGCATTGCCCCCCCCCCCACCATCCAGAGTTGTGGAATTAGGATTAAAATCTATGGCTTTGTTGTGATTTTTTTTTTTTTTTGGAGGGGGTGGTCTCTCTCTCTCTCTCTCTTTTAACAGATGATCCTAATTGGAGCTAACCTTATAAATAGGCCCCAATATCCACAATTTCTTTCACACTGCCTATTGTGGGGAAAAGGCTGGTACCTGAAAAACAAACTCTGTACACTTCCTAATTTTGCTCAGGGTCCACCCCGAGCCAAGACTTAGAATAAAGGACCATAATAAGATGCTACAACGCAGAAAAACAAAGTCACAGACTGAGATATAACCAAAATGTGCAATGGGCAAGTCTTTGTCATTGAAGTTGAAAGTGTTAGGAAACATTTTAACACTGGCATACCCACTGAAAGTAGCAAATTTGGGTTTAAAGAATTTCTGCAGTTTCAACCATCTTAGGTCAGGGATCCATCAATCTTTTTGTCAAAAGGAGTTACTTTTGTTTCCACTAAGTGTTGACGTTACAGGAAGTGGGGACAGGAAAATTCCTGAACAGAGTGAGCTTGAAAAGGCCATTAAAAAAAAAAAAAAAATCTAGTTCGGTATAGTTCAGTAATTTTCCAGAGTTCCTAAGCCAGGTAGGAGACTTCTCTGGTCAAGGAGTCTCTGCTTTTACAAGTTAATGTACTTTTATCCGCCAAGAAGGCCATGGCCTATTAGGCCAGGAGTATAGCACATATCACCCCTAACAGAGGTCGAAGAGAGAAAGAGGAAAATATTCAGAGAGAAGCTGGCTGTCTGGGTCCTGAGAACTGGTTCGGCTTCCTGGGTCCTGCAGCTCCTCATGAGACCCATCTACAGTCCCATCCTGGAATTTCAGGTACTATCCCCATCATTATAATGATAAATATATAATTTTTTGCTTGTTGCCTTGAGTGTTTCTGTGACTTGCAAAAAATCCTGAAAAAGACAGGTTACGAAGACAGAGATGCCTACAGATTACCTCAGTTACTAGGGAGTTTAATTCTATGAGTACACAGAGAAATAAGAACACACAGGAACCAGGCCTCATAAAGACAATAGCACTGTCAAAGCAAAACAACTGTCAGGTCTCATGGCCAAACAGAATGCCACTGCAGGTGCAAGTGTGCTTAGCTCCCAACTCCACTGCTCCACTATTATGGTGATTCAGTGACCCCCGTCCCTGCCTCAGCTTCTCCTCTCACCCCTGGGGAACTTCTCCACAGCAGGCCTCTGTTCTGCTTATTACCTTCCCTACGTGGGTCTCCCTGTCTCTGTGCCACTCTAACCATGTCCCTGCACATTCCATACTCACTCCTGTCCCTGGGAAACGTGCTTTATTGGCTCATATAGCCCAATTCAGTCTGGAATGCAGGGCTACCCTATCAGGTCACCTCACAGGCCGCTGGGCAGCCCGTGGGCCGCGGTGGCTGGGTCACATGGGACCCAGGCATAAGGAAACTTTTTGGCCACCTGTTCAGAGGGGCCTGTGGATACAGCAGGCATTCACAGGGTCACGGGCAGCAGTAGGGCTGTGTACCATATTATCACCTATGCTGTGAACTCACCCAGGAATGAAATGGGAGCCCAAGAACACATTGCTGAAAACAGCTGTACACTATTTTGGGATCCAGGAAGAAACACTTAGCAATGCTGAAATAAGCGAGCCCAATAAAACTCACGTTATCTATATCATAAAAATGCATGCGAGTTCAGTTCTCTGATAGTCTGCAACAGAACAAGAACTTCACGAAAAAGAAACGTAATTGAAAAAAAAAAACAAAACTCAAACCCAAGCTACTATTCAAAAATCACTGTTAGGGTTGAAACCATATTCTCACAGCTGGTATTTGGGGAGTTAAGATTTTCTAGAGCCCATACGCAACCGCTATATTTAGAAGGAAAAGGTCACTGGAATAGCAGAACTAATTTCTTCTGGTAAGTTTTTCCCCACTCTCAAGTCTGGTTTAAATTAAAAATTTTTTACCTTTATACATAATTGGTGTACTATTGCTATTTTTAAAGGAATTAACAAAAACTTTTAAACGGTTGTTTTTGGTGCAACAAGTAGTGGTAAGAATCACCTACACAAACAAGTGTGTCTCCCTTGAGCTGTGCCTGTCTTGTTGACCGCTGGCTCGCCAGAGCCTAGCGCAGTCCCTGGCACGTGGTTGCTCAATAAATATCTGCCCGATGGAAAAAAAAAAAAAAATACAGACCTCTTTATTTTCTACCATAAATATGTAATTTGGGGAAAAGCTGTATAGAGGAAAAATATTCTGTGCTTTTCTAAAAGAAAGACAAAAAACCCGAAGTTACTGGGCCAGTAAAGGTGGTGTTTATACTTGGATGTTTTAAGTTTCAGGTATGGTGCTTGAGCACCTCTGAATCATGGTGTACAAGAGGAAGGCAACTACTGCCCCCTCTCCCCGCGCCTTTCCAGAGTGGATCGCCAGCCTGAGAAGGTATCAGAGAGATAAAGGAGGGGCCGGAGGCTGGGAAAAGAAGGTTGGTCCCCACCCATCGTTCGTTCGTTCGTTCGTTCATTCATTTTCACTCACTCACTCTCTCAACACGCACTCGACACCACACCCTGTGCTAGGAGCTTAGGCCAAGAAGATGAACAAGAGCCGGCGCCGATCCTAGGGAAATCATAAAGAAACAAGCCAAAGTCGCGTTTCCCATGCGGAACCGGGAAAGGAGGCCCAGCTTTTTCTCAGGAACACAAACCCATCCCGCCCGCCCCATCCACTCCCCCAAGATGGCGCCCGCCGAGTGGGAACATTCCCACGCCCCCGGCTGCTGCCTGCCGCAGCCCCCGCGGAACCTAGGGTCCCCAGGCACCGCGGCCCCCGCGCGCGGCCCCCCCGCACGGCCCCCGTCCCGCCCAGAAGGCCGGGGTGGGCAGCGGCGCGTGACGGCCGCGCGCGAAAGCAGCGCGCCGCCCCCCCCGACGCCCCGCCCATAGCACCCCGCACCAACCCCCCGCCCGCGTCGGCGCTTGTTGACGCCACTGGAGGCGTGTCGGCGCGACCCGCGACGTCGCGACGTGCCGACAATGGCGACTGCGTCAGCCTGAGCGGGCCTCAGTTTTTCAGCAATCTCCTGACGTTGCCGCGAGGGCCGTGGGGGCCGCGGGGGCCGCGGGAGCCGCGGGGGCTGCAGGCGTCTCAAACCCGGTCGGCGGCGGCGGCGCGCGCGCGCGCTCCCGCCACGCCCTGGGACGAGCCGCTGCGCCGAGGCCTGGTGGGGCAAGCCAGGTGGGCGGTGGCGCGGCCGGGCTGCAAGCTGGGGCGCGCGCGCGCGCGCGCGCGGCAGGAAGGCGGGCGGAGCGGGGGGCGGCGCGGGCGCCGGGCGGCCCCGACCTCCCGGGGGCTGCTGGGGCGCAGCAGGGAGTCGTGCCGGGGGGCGGCGGGGCGCGGGCCGAGTGCGGCTGACCTCCCTTTCTCTGTAGCCTCTGGCTGCATCTCGGCCTCTTTGCTCCTATTTGCTCGCGCGGACCCTGTCCCTTGCCTAAGTCGGCAACATGAGCGGCAACAACTTGGATGGGAACGACGAGTTTGATGAGCAGTTGCGAATGCAAGAATTGTACGGCGACGCCAAGGACGGCGACACCCAGAAGGATCCCAGTGGAGAGCCCGATTCTTTCGGGCAGCAGCCGGCTGACACCCCGTACGAGTGGGACCTGGACAAGAAGGCTTGGTTCCCCAAGGTAGGAGAGTGGCACGGGCGCCACGGCAGAGCGGGCCCGCCTGGCCAGCCTCGCGAGGCGCCCCTTTTCCGTTTTCTTTGCTGAGGTCCTGAGTTAGAGCCCCATGGATAGTGACGTTTCTTTTTGTTGTTTCTGTTGCAGAACCGATGTGTAGAGAAACGTAAATCTTTACGGAGATGCCTTAAATGTAATTTAATTCTTAAGCCTTGTCTATGCCTTACTAATTTTGTCTGTGAAGGTCACAGTTGGTTATTGCATTGATGACTGCTTTTTATTGCAAAGAGGAAAAACACCAGGAGCAAATTTAGTAGCTGTTAATCTCAGATAGCCAACCTCACTTATCCTAGGAATTCTGATATTTGTTTAGCTTATATATATACTTTGTGCGAAAGGCAGCTTCTCTGTTTGAAAAAGAGTAGCCACATCGTATATCTCTTTACGGATTGAACTTTGTCTTGCACCTCTCTTTCCTATCAAATTTTGTCCCTAGGCATGTGTGTTTGAACCATATAACCACAGGCACAGAATATGGCGTGGAAAAGATCTATGTATATTTGTTTAGAGTGCTTGGAAATTGTTAAGTATTTTATTCCAGCTTGAAAGTAGTGTAACTGGTGTTAACTTGGTTCTGTAAACTTTTTGGTAAAAGTACCCTGTTAATCAAAGTCTCATGTGGGTGGAAAAAGATACTAGTAGCACACTAATCGACTTGCAAGCTGGTAATATAAACCGTGTCTCCATTGCGTAATTCGACTGTTACCCTTAAAATTATTTATTTCAACTTTTTTATTTTCCATTTTGTATTTGTGTGTATGCCCCACTCCGTCCACATTGTTAAATTTATTTTGCTTGTACTGGTCGTGCCAGCTCCAGAGCAGATTTGGTTTCTGAGGACTTTTAACAGTAGTCTGATAATGGATTCATTTGTGACTTCTTTATCTTTTTATGTTATGGAAGCCCATACCTCTTGAAACTTTGAGTTTAAAATTTTCCCCACTCCTGTGTGTGTGTAACATTGACCAGAATGAAGGAAGAACTCCCATTTCTTTCATTGTGCAACTGTGCTTTTTTTTTTTTTTACCCCCTAAAAGCGGGGAATATAGATGTGAGTTGAATTTGTTCTTAGTTTCTTCTGACACTAAATGATAGTGTGATATAATTAGTGATGGAGTTAAAATAAGCATTTAGTTTTACAGTTGTTAGCCCTATCCCCTTATACCAAATCAGTTCCATTCTGTGTGCTCTCTGCATACAGATACTCAAATATTTAGCGTGTGTATACTTTTGTGTATCTCTATAGCAAAAGAAAAATTGGTTCTGGTGTTAGATTATTAGGTGACTGTTGGTTTTTGTTCTGTTCTATTGTTATCTGGTACTTCCTTTGTTGTATGTACTTGTAGCCTTAGTCAAGTAGATTGGAGAGAGGTAGTGATTTATAAATGAAACAACTAGAAAACTCGCCAACATCACTTAAAAGGCCAGTAGTATCTTAGAATTTTGTGTTTGATAACCCAAATACCCATGTCTTATTTTTTTTTTATCATTTTATGCACATTTTCTGTGTAAGGTGACTATTCTTGCATTTACACTATTTACTACAACCGTTATCTGCAGAAACACTTCTTTGTTCAGTTGTACAACTAAATATGCTGAAATTTAACCCAGTGTAAACTCTTTATGGGAAGAAATCAATTTTGAATTTCTATATGTGTGTGTGCTGGAATTTTTTGTTTAGATCACTGAAGATTTCATTGCTACATATCAGGCCAATTATGGCTTTTCTAATGATGGGGCATCTAGCTCTACTGCAAATGTACAAGAAGTCAGCGCTAGGACTGCAGAAGAACCTCCTCAAAGAAAAACCCCTGAACCCAGTGATCCCAAAAAGAGGGGAGAAAAGAGAAAGGCCGAATCAGGCAAGTGGATTTAGCTTGCAAAACATGAATGTAAAAATTTTAAATGTTAGTATGGGTATATATGGTTAGTATTTGGAGAATTACAGTGGCTTTGAAGGAATCATAAGATGAGAGGCTTTTTTTTTATTATTATTATTTGGGTTCATATATTGGCTCCCGCACTAATTTGTGAGCATTGGGTAGGCTGTTTCAATTCTGTGCCTCAGTTTCTTCCTTTGCAAAATAGAGCTGTTATCAAAAGTTCTGTTTGTAAGGTAATTTTCTTACAGTTTTTTGAGTTTAATTAAATTGAACGCAAGGCAGTTTTGCCTCAGCTTGGCCATGTCTAACACAGTAGGTTGGAGTCAGAGGCAACTTCTGCATGCAGGGCCTGAAGTCAGTGCAAGGATGAGTTTTTTTTAAGGTAGTAGCAGAATCATAAAGAACCAAGATAAGTAGCTCTCCTTTTGTAGATAAGGCTCTGAAACTAATTAAGTGTCCAAAGATCTGAATACTTTGAAAGCTGGACAGTGATTTGAGTTAGTCTCTCTTGTTCTAAGGGTAAGAAAAGAGTCCTGGAAGTTTCAAGAAACTGGTACATTGTCAAGATTTCATAATGGGACTCTTACCTTTTCTTGCATGTATTTTTTTTTAATTTTGATTTTTAGGATGGTTTCACGTTGAAGAAGACAGAAATACAAATGTATATGTGTCTGGTACGTATACTCTTTTATTTTTATTTATTTGTTTGTTTGTTTATTTTAAGTAGGCTCCACACCCAACGTGGGCCTTGAACTCACCACCCTGAGATCAAGAGTTGCACTCTACCAACTGAGCCAGCCAGGCACGCCCCCATCTCTTAAACAAATAATAGAGTAGAAAATATTTGATTTTGAGATTTTTCAGGAAGTGATTTTTACTTTTCAGCTTCTCTGAAGTCTATGTTTTATCATTGTGTCATTTTTTTTGTTCAGCTATTGACATTTGTAAGGGATACATTTTTGTTTACTACAAAACTAAGAAACATTGTGAGTGTGTAACTTTGTATGCCATCCTTTCTGTCTGCTTTAGGTAACTTAGGGCAGTTTGCTCCTACAGTGATACAAAGCTTAAGCAAAACATGATTTTAATGTATATTTGAATATATTAAAACATGAAATTTCCTCAATTCTATAGATGTGAGATTTTTTACGTATATTTAGAAAATCAAACGTGTGCTCGTCTAAGTTGTAGATTTCTAATTGGTAGAATGCTTAAGTAACCTGCACTGTTAACTGTACATGCTTTTATAATTTTCTTCCCTAATGTTACAGGTTTGCCTCCAGACATTACAGTGGATGAATTTATACAGCTCATGTCCAAGTTTGGCATTATTATGAGAGATCCTCAAACGGAAGAATTTAAGGTCAAACTTTACAAAGATAATCAAGGAAATCTTAAGGGAGATGGTCTTTGCTGTTATTTGAAGGTTAGTTATGTGGTCAAATAAGTTTCTTGTATTTTCATTTTTTAACTCAAGAACCAGGGCTGTAATTTCATATAGATGATAATCAAGACTGAGAACTATTCAAAACAGGATATGAAGAAAGCTAAAATTTCAGATTGTGCCTGTGTGTATCGCACTGGTGAGGTTATTTACTTGTTGTAGGAAAATATGTTATCAGGCCAAGGTATTATGCAAGTTATATGACTGAAGTGCTTCTTTTGTCTTAAAAGAATTCTCACTGCAGAGATCTCTTTAGGACTCAGAACACATTTTAAAAATCCACAAAGAAAAGAAAGCCGGTAACATTTTATTTACCCACTGGAATGAATTAGACCGGGATTTGGCAAACTGCAGCTTACTGCCTATTTTTGTAAATAAGGTTTTATCGAACACAGCCACATTCATTCGTTCACTCATTTACTCGTTTGTCTATGGCTGCTTTTGTGTTTCAGCAGTGGAGTTGAGTGGTTGCAGCACACACCACGTGGCCCACAAAGCCTAAAATACTTACTAACTGGCCCTGTACAAAAGTTTTCTGAGCCCTGAATTAGACCATAAAGGAGATGGTAGCTATGCTTGCTGCTCTCAAATGTATCGTGAGTGGGAGAGAAGAGAGATTGTTGCTCTTAATAGAAATTTGCAGAACTCTACGTAATCATGGTACCATCAATTAATTGCACAGGGAAAGCTCAGTGTCAAAGGCAGTCACCGTTTCTGGAACATCTCTCACCTTAGGAGCATGTTTTATGCATTATTGCAGAATACAGAAGAAATGTGCACAACGATGACGTGTACCTATGTCATGGAAGGTGAAAATAATTACAGAGTAAAATCAAAGTGATTAAACAACAGTACCAACACCACAGGTGTGTTGTGAATGTAAAACGTTTCAGTGAAGTCGGAAAGGGGTAGGGTTAAGCTGACAGCTCTTTGGAAGATACATTTTGAATCTGGTTCTTGAATGTGAATGGGCCATCCGTGAGAATGGCCATTATAGGTAGTTATTAATTTTCACATACAGGGAGATTTGCCAGTTTTACAAGTTCCTCAAGGGTTATTAAAGATCTGTGAACAGATTCTTAGGGAGTTTGGATTTTCTAATTTTTTAAAGAGAAAAGTGGAGTTTTGAGTCACTTGATAAAAAGTGCAAGATTGGCCAACCAGTGTATTAAGTTCCAAAAAAAATGTAATTAAGGGGCTCCTGGGTGGCTCAGTCAGTTAAGCATCCGACCCTTGGTTTCAGATCAGGTCATGATCTCAGGGTCGTGAGATGGGGCCCCGCATCGGGCTCCACGCTCAGTGTGGCGTCCTCCCTCTCCCTCCCCCTACCCCTCCTCCTTCTCTCTCCTCCTCCTGCCCTCCTCCTCCCCCTGACTCAATGCTCACATGCTCGAGTGCACACGCGCTCTCTTTCTGAATAAAATCTTTTAAAAATATATAATTGTTCTAAGATCCATATTTGATTGTGCAGCTAAGTTCAGTTATTTTTTGTTTTCCTCAGGTCCTCAGATCTTTGACTCTGCATAGGGCTGACAACTGCCCTCTTTGTGTAGAACCCAGAATCCACAAATGTATTTAATGTACAAGTCGTGAGATAATCATCTTCACACTATATCACAGACCTACATTTTAATTGCTGAACAAAAAAAATTAAAGGCTGGCTATGCTATTCCCAGTTCCTCGAGTCATCTAGTCTTTTGAGTAGGAATACTTTCGAATTTTAAACTGGAATGTACCTTAGAAGTCACACAAGTCCTTTTGCCTCATTGAGAAATCGAGACTCCAAGAGGCAATACTACTATTCCAATAATAATGTAATCTATTGAGCACCTGTATGCCAGTCTCTATCCTTTATGTGCATTCTTTCATTTGATTTTGTCAAGAACCCTGCAAAGAAGGCATTTCTCTTCCCATTTTACAGATGAAGAAATTGAATAACTTGCCCAAGTTCACAAAGCTGGTTGAGGACAGCTGTGTCTAGAGTGCAGGTTTCCTGATAAGGCAGCCTAGAGTTCTTTATCTCAAAGGAGGTAGTTATGATGACATGTTTATTGTATGTATGGTCATCGTTCGTCTAAAAAAACCTCCCAAAGCTTCATTTCAGCATGTAAATTCCTGTCTCTCATTTTACCTTTATAAAGAGGGAATCTGTGGATCTCGCGTTAAAACTCTTGGATGAAGATGAAATTAGAGGCTACAAATTACATGTTGAAGTGGCAAAGTTTCAACTGAAGGGGGAATATGATGCTTCAAAGAAGAAGAAGAAGTGCAAAGACTACAAGAAAAAGCTGTCTCTGCAACAGAAGTTTGTGTTGTTTTTCCCTTTCTGAAAGATTTCGTATAAATATCCTAGAGTGTGTTTTTGGTATAGCCCCCTAGTTTTGTTCCATCAAATGTACGTATAAATTGTTTTCAAAGAATTTCATTAGATCATCAGAAACCTTCATTAATCTGCCAGGTAGGATGATCTGCCAGTGGCAGTGTTTTTCTTTTCTGGAGTGTGTATTTGTAATATAACATGGGCTTCAGTGAGATGAGAAGGCCTTCTCTTTGGAAGGAGTTGAACAGCAGCTTAAATAAAATAGTTTAGGCTTGTATACCAGAGCCATTAGTTCATTTTTGATGTGAATTGACATCAGCTACACGGGGAGCTAAAGCGTTAAGTACTTTCTTTTATCAGAGTGAGTTCTAATAACATTTCTAACACTGTGCTCAAACCAGTGATACAGTGATCATAAAAGAGTTGAGTTGTGATGTCCTATAGTTTTTACAGGAATAGTCAGACTAGATACCTACCAATTGTACGTAAACACCTACCAATAAAATTTAAGATTGTATAACAGTAGTTTTACATATTTCAATGCAGTTTGTTCTTTGTGATCATAAAATGTCTAAAAACCAATACAATTTGAACTTATTTTTTGCCCTCAAAGTGTAGTCGTACATACCAGATAGTCATAAATACTGAATAACTGGCACTTTACGGGAGTCTCACTGGAATGTTTGTAACCAGACCACAGTTCTGAAAAAAGATCCATTCTGGGGATTTCAGACTCGGGGTCTGTCTTTCACCCACCCAGTAATGTTACTACTTCAGAAAGTCTCCCAGTGGGAACTGTGACTAAACAAGATAATTAGTATCATTAAGTACTCGATAGAGGATGATTGTAACAACTCTTTTTCTCCTCTCCCACAAGTATGAAACAAAATTCAGTCTCTTGTTCCTGTCTTATGGCATTAGGCAGTTGGACTGGAGACCTGAGAGACGAGCCGGCCCATCCCGCATGCGGCACGAGCGAGTTGTCATCATCAAAAATATGTTCCATCCGATGGATTTTGAGGTAGGAGGTGATATTCCCGCCGATGGGAACGTTGATGTGCTTTCTTTCAAGGGAGCCCAAAGCTTGCCTCGCCTCGTGTTTCTCCTGTCACATCCTACACATCCACATAGCTGGCAAGGTAGGAAAATAGAGCTAAGTAAGAGTCCATCAAAGCGTTTGGATTTTCCCGTGTTTAGCCCAGGGTTCTTTGAGTTGTTCCCCAGGGAACACTGTTTAACACCCACGCCGTGGCTGCAGACGGCAGCTACTTGAAGAAATCATTAAAAATACAATCACTGAACGATTTCTGGGCACTGCTTGTGGGTTTTGAGTGCATTTCCACAAGGATGGGCTGGTTTCGGTGGGGAGTCATTTCACACTTGCAAATGAGAACTTCACTTTGGTACTACGGACCTGATCCCTAAAAAAAAAAAAACAACAACCCAGGTTCATGAAATACAGCTCCCAATGTTTAATTGGTGACGGTAGCTTTTCGAGATCTGACTTGCACACAATGCCTTCGTGGCTATTGGGAGGACTTTATAATACTTCCTGTCCATGTTAAAATTCTAAGAACATCAAGTAAAAGTGACTAGAAGACGAAGAGCTGGAGAGGTGCGAGAGGCGTGCGAGGCCTGGACCGCCTGGACCACCGCCACAGCGCCTTGTACAGGAGGCCTCCTGCCTCTTGTTCTTGTCGGTCTTTCCCGCAGACCCATGGCAGCATTTGTGGAAGAACAAGGCTTTATTCTCTGCCTGGAATCTGAAATTAATGATCAGCAGCTACACAGACAGAGAAAGGCAACGAGTAACCATAAAGATAACAAGTTACATGAGAAGAAAAAAATGTTCATACTGTACAACTCCAGGTTTATAAGTATCTAGTTGCAACCGAAGCCCCCTCTTACTCCTTCTGTGCCTTGAAACAGTGAGAACAGCAGTTTCATTGTAACCCCTTTGGAGAGGACCCAGGGTGGTCTGTGGAGCTCCCGCCCAGCCAGTAGTGATGTGATAGGGTTCACGGTGCACCCCTGGGGTCTGCGTATCTTTTGAGGTCATTGGGGAGAGATAACATGTGGTCAATTTGTAACATTTGATGTCGCTTCTGAGTAGAATTCTGAAGAATTTTAAAACACTTTTTGAAACATTCTCCCTGCCAGGTAGGGATTTGAAAGGAATACATAGCTGGATCAGGGTATCTGGTCTACTAGGTACAACTCCAGATTCCTTACAGTTCATCTCATTCTATCCCCCACGTAAATAACGGGCTTTTTAAAATTACATGACCTGTTAATGTCTATGACCTGACATCCTTGATGCACGCATTTCATGCTTGTAATGCTCGAGTGTGAATATTAATGCAAACTTAATTCAAATTATCAGGAACCTCGGTAAGTAGAAGCCTGTTGTGTAATTGCATATGTGTTTGTGTTTTGCCCCCCTGCTTTGCTCACTGACCACCTAACTTGAATCTGGCGATCACACTGTGCAGACTTTGTTTTTCTGAGCTTAACGAGTATTCTTTCCTCCAGAACGCCAAATTTACTTGATTTTGACCCCTACAAATTCCCTCCAGTGGATCATTTTAAGGACAGAAGGCTCATGCTTGTAAATTCTCTGTTCTTTTTTCAAACGCTCTTACTGGTTTAGTGTAAACTTTACTTTGGAGTTATAGAGGCTTTAAGTTACCCTGTTTAGCCAAAGTCCTCTTACACTTCCATTTTCTTTTGCACCAGTTTGAAAAACTGTTCGTAACGTTTGTTGTTATCGGAAATAATCGGATCTCCTCTACTAGAATGTGAGCTCCGTGAGAGCCAGGAGCTCCCTCGTTTGCTCTTATATTCCCAGTGGTTAGAATTCTGCCTGGCATACAGTAGACCCTCAATATGTATTTATTTTACAGACCCTCACTATTTATATGAAGAAAAAGTGAAAGGATGATTGAATCAGAGTCCTGTTACAAGGCAGAGTCCTTTGCTTCACTCCGCGGATAACACGTTTTCTCTTGAGCATCTTTGCAAATGAAGGAAAGTGTTCTTTTCAGAAGCTGAGAGGACAGGGACGGGCTTCAGAGCTCATGGTGGGAGAAACCCCCGGGTGCTGCCCTTGTTCGCCTACCTGCCGGCTCTCGTGCGGCCTGCCACCTCCACGAGAGCCTGTCAGAGGGGTCTCGTTATGTGTTTGGGGTCTTTTTTTTAAGATTGATTTATTTACTTTAGAAGGGAGAGCGAGCGTGCACGGGAGCGGGGGTTGGGGGGGCAGAGGGAGAGGGAGAAAGAACTTAGTTTTTGTTCCCGGTCTCTGTGGGCCTGTACTTCAGAGTGTGTCTCCACCATAGTAGACTGTCCAGGAGGGTAGACTCCACCCACATGGGGTTATTTAACTGAAATGAAGGAAAACTAAAAATGCAATTCCTTAGTCATACCAGCCCTCTGTATTGGATAATGCAGATACTCATTTGTCACCACAGCAAGTCCTGTTGGGCACCGCTGGTGTAGACGCTATATGACTCGTCACCAAGGTGTGCAGCCGGAAAACGTGCTATGGGACGTTTTGGGGGAGTGTTTGATTTGACGAAAGATTCCATGTGAATCGAAAGAGTAGTCCTCAGCATTGAGCTTTGTAGTGGAAAACAAAAACTGAATTGTTAGGTTCCCCGGGGTGTCAGAAAGAAACCAGATTTTGGGGGGGGGGGCGTTGTGGGTAGAATATATTTTTACTCCACAAACAGTTGACCCGTGTGAGAAGCAAAATACCTAAAAATACTCTTTGGTGTCAGGGTGAACAATGCGAAGGCTAATATTGTTAATGTAACTTCAGAGGGTTTTCAGTATTTAATTCAAAGCCTTATTTAAAAAGGCATGCCTGGGGGCGCCTGGCTGGCTCGGGCAGAAGAGTGTATGACTCTTGATCTCGGGGTTGTGGGTTTGAGCCCCACGTGGGGTATAGAGATTACTATTAAAAAAAATCAATAAACTTTAAACAATAAGTAAATAAAACTGCATGCCTGGCCAGTTTGAATACTAGGAGGTGAAGAACCAAAACTGTGTCGCAAAGGTAGGATTCTCATTCTGTACACCAGCACTGGCCAACAGAAAGCGAATGTGAGCCACATGGGTAGTTTAAAATTTTCTGGGAGCCACAGTTAAACTAGAACACGAAATGGGGGAAATTAATTTTAATAATGAACTTTAGCCCAATAGATCCAAAATAGTTTTAATTTCAGCATGTGGTGTAAAAACATTAATGAGTTACATTGTTCCCCCCCACTTTGGTACTAAATCTTCAAAATCTGGTGTTCATGTCACACTTGGAACACACCTCAGTTGGGACTAGCCACATTTTAAGTGCTCAGTGGCCACATGCGGTTAGTGGCCGCCGTCGTGGTCAGTGTAGGTTTAGATTGGAAAGGAGTGAGAAATACGGTTTAACTTTCTTCCTGGGAAAACAGAACGCCACCCCCCCCCCCAAAAAAATGAGTATTGAGCAGGAGGTTTCAGTGCATCTTGTCTGATTTTCATCTCAAGTCTATTGCTTGCCAAGTGTTGTGTTTAGAAATTTTCCATTCTTAGCTATGTTAAAGAGTTTTCCTAGAGGAGGGGATTGTTAGCGTTAAGCTTCAGGCTACTAAACAGCAGTGAGGCTATATTATATTATATTAGTTTTTCAAGCTGGTATAAATGAAAACGGAAGTGTAGGAAGATTTTGGCTAAAATCGGATATGCTTGTGGGAAAAACACTGAGACCTTGCTACAGAAATAAAGAGAGTGGTGCCCCCCCCCACACACACACAATGGAGTCACACTTAAATTTGTTAAATATTTTGAAAGAATTTTGTATGTTTTTACTGTAATCCTGATTTCCCTTGGTGAATAAAGTTAAGGTATTGGGAATTGTTTTTCTAACTCTGAAAAGGCTTTTTATTGACTATTCACCGTGTGGAAACACCTGTGCTGGGTTCTGTGAGGCAGACAAAACATTCAGACCAGATTCCTGCCTTCGGAAAGCACACAGTCTGATAGGAGCTGACCACACACACACACACACACACACACACACACACACCCACCCCTACCCCTCTCAAGGCCGCCATGTGCCTTTTATGCTCCGGTTCCCATTCCTCTCAGGGCTGACAAATCTATATAAAATAAACAGCATCCCCAAAATGAGCTTTTATAAGTGGGGGCAATCCAGCTGTACTTTTAGAAGGCTCAGATTTATAGGATATTCTTTTATTTTTAAATTTGATGTCAGTAACTACCTACCGGCTCTTTATTTTTGCTTTCTGAGAGAACTTTAGGAGGGAAAAGGCACTTTTTTTTGTTCTTTGCAGTTCTTCTTTAGTTGGTGAGGAAAATAAAAACCCGTGAGCAAGATGAAGTTAAATGTTTCCTAAAAAGCGTAAGTCTACTTCAGTAGAAGTTCATATATAGGATGTTTTGTTTATATGTGTTTGTAGTTGAAATTCAAGTTGATAATGTAACGTTTGATGAGCCCCTTTGATGCACTGGGACTTGGGGAAAGATTTGTTAATCCCTACAGGTAATCTTAAACCCTTTTGTTGAGGGGTGGAGAGCCCCCCCCCCCTGCACTCAAGACCACCAGAAGCAGCAACACTTGAGTGCCCTTGATAGACTCATAGTTGAAAGAAAGCAACAGCTAAGGATATATATATTTTTTTAAGATTTTATTTATTTGAGAGAGAGCGAGAGCACAGGAGCGGGGATGGGGGTAGGGTGGGGGAGGGGCAGAGAAAGAAGCAGACTCCCTGCTGGGCAGGGAGCCCGATGTGGGGCTCCATCCCAGGACCCCGAGATCATGACCCGAGCCGAAGGCAGACGCTTCACCCACTGAGCCATCCAGGCACCCCGAGAATGTATTTTATTGTGTGCTTCTTAGCAGCTCTTTTATTTGTGTGGTTCTGTTGCAGTGTGGTAAGAGACAAGATGAACAGGAATCCTTATAAGGGAGGTTTACCCTGTGGTTAAAATAGAATCTTGGAAGCACAAAGAACTATCTTAGTCAATGAAAGGGATATGTCGCTCCCCATTACAGCATTTCTGTAAATGGGAATCTATGCAAAACCCAAAGCAGAGGGCTGTGGTCAGTACAGTCAGGATGCCCGTGCAGAACAGAGGAATTAGCAGTGTCTGACTTCCGGTGTGCCAGAGGACCTTTCCTGCCCTTACAGCTGCTGTGCTTTGGGATTTCCAGCCCTCCTTCGCTGCCCCCTCCCCGCTGCTCCAGCGCAGTCCCGCTGCTGCCCGCCATGCTTAGCCATTTCCTCCAGCTGGAGTAGCAGCTGCAGCCTTGCTGGTCCAACGTCCTTTGGTTTTGACTTTTTAAAATTCTGTAGACTGCAGACAACAGTAACTACTTTTAAGTAAAACCTTTTTCTGTACGTTGGTTTGTTGTCAAAGCAAGAAATTTGATTTCTCAGGGTTTGTGTTTAAAGAAGGGGGCAGATCTGTTTTAATCGTGTGTATGTTTGCAGGATGACCCATTGGTGCTGAATGAAATCAGAGAAGACCTTCGAGTAGAGTGTTCAAAGTTTGGACAAATTAGGAAGCTCCTTCTCTTTGATGTAAGTTTGTGGCTTAGACAAATGATCCCTAAAGCAATTGTTCTTTCCATTTGATAAGTTATTCCCAGATGGCCGTATGTCCCAAATTTTGGATTCATGTTTTTGTATGGTAGGTCTGCTATCTTGTGGTAGTCATCTGTTAGCAATAATTAGATGAACGTGGATCGGCAGTCAGGGCTTTGGTGGACTTGGTATGCCTTGGTGATTTCCCTTTATCATCACTCTGGAGTATACAATCAGATGAGAAGAAGTACGAGAAAGATGTGTGAGATGTTGTGGTTCCCTGTTTGCCCACCTTTCCCTATCTTCGTGAATTATTCTCCTCCTCCATGTTTGAAGAAGAACGATCAAGCAAGATATTTTTCTGTATGTTCCCCTTCTTACTCTTTGTACTTCCAAGATCGACGCACAATAATTAAAAGAGTCGCCGTTTATTGATTGCATATGAGCTACTTTATGTGTTACCTCATTTAATCCTCATGATCGTTTGAGGTAGGTGGATACTGTTATACCCACTTTACAGATGAGGCAGCTGGAAGTTCAGAGATTGAGCGAGCTCCTTGCTCAAGGTCATTCAGCTGTTAAGTGGCAGAGCCAGAATTTAATCCCAGGGCTATTTGACTTGAGAGTCCACACTCATTAACAACTATACCATCTTGCCTCTCTTTAGACGGTGTTGTCAGCAGAAACATTTCCAAGGACATCGTGCTTGGTTCTTGATAGACAAGATTAAGCTAAAGAAGCAGCTAGCTTTGGGGCGCCTGGGTGGTTCAGTCGGTTAAGCGACTGCCTTCTGCTTGGGTCATGATCGTGGGGTCCTGGGATCAAGCTCTGCATCAG